CAAAATGTACTGGTAAATTACAAGGAGAACACACACACACACACACATACACACACACACACACACACACCCCCTTCTAACCCTGCTGGAGCAGGTGATTGGACTAGAATAGATATCTCATTTTCTTTCTCCTCCCTCCCTCCCTCCTTTATTTCTTTTTCTTTCTGTCCCTTCCTTCCACCACCACCCTTTCTTTGTCCCTTTTTCTTTCTTTCCCTTTTCTCTTTCTTTTCTTCCTTCTCTCTCTCTCTCTCTCTCTCTCTCTCTCTCTCTCTCTCTCTCTCTCTCTCTCTCTCTCTTCTTTCTCTCTCTTTCCCTCTCTCAGGCTCATCCCATTGACCTTGTTTGGGCAGGTCCCTCCAGTTCAGTGGACTCAATGGTGTGGACCTGTGGGGCCGGCACCTAGAACGCGGCAGTGTCAGCATGTTTGAAAAGTAGAGCAAAGCCAGAGGTCAGTAATTTTTGCTGCAAAGAATCATAAAACCTGGGTTGTGCACAAGAAGTGACACATGTCAATGCAATTCAGCAACATAAAATAAAGAGATACAAATAAAACAAATCAACAAGAATCGGCAAAGCATCTCTGATTAGATTTTATTCACTACTAGAATCTAATCAGAGATGCTTTGCCGATTCTAGTGCAATGACCTGCTCCAGCAGGGTTAGAAGGGAGTATGTTGTGTATGTGTGTGCATGGCTGTCAAAACTCCAAAAACAGGTCAAATATCTCTGGGGAGGCCAGTCATAAATTAGAACACTTGTTAAACAACCGGCCATTAAGTGAGGACCACTTGTATTTGGTTTGCCAGTCATGCCCACCCAGTCACATGACCACCAAATCACACCTACCCGGTCATGTGACCAGCAAGCCACGCCGGCCAGTCACGTGACCAGCAAGCCGCACCCACCGTCACATGACCAACAAGCCACGCCCTCAAATTAGGCCACACCCACAGAAATTTGAATCCCACCCCTGGGTGGGAGGCACTGAGGATGAGTTTGTAGCACCATGGGGGCGGTGGACTGAAAAAGTTTGGGAACCACTGGTCTAGAGGAGACAATCCCCAGTGATTGTCCACACAGACCACTTAGTTACATTCACTAGCAAACCTCTGAGATGCTCCTTCAGCCCAATAGTTGTATAGAGTAGACGGCTTAAAGTCTTGTTGTAAGTAAACACTGAGAACAAGCTGAATTGGGCCTGAGTGGGAGGAAGAATCAGAGAGGAATTTCTGGTCCAGTGGGTCAAGGTGGTTTACATTCCCTGACCATATCTCACAGAGCGCATAGTTGCCATGCTGACCTTGTAGTTTCCCAAATGGGATTATCAAAAATATTCCATTAATCCTTAAGAGCCACAAGAAATTTATACAGTACATCATCTTTCTACAAACTAGTGCCTTCCAAGTCTTTTATCCAAAATGTTTGGGAATAATAAATCTAACTCCTGTGGAGATTGGAAAGGCTGCGCAGAGCGATTCTTCCCTCTAGTGAGATTTAGGCTCTGCAAGGATGCAGATAGATAGAATCTCTCCTACCTAGATGTGGTTTGGAAGCAAGGAGAGAGGATGTTTCCAGTTCTTCCATGTTTCATTATTCTATTGATAGGATGGAGCTGGAAATCATTTGGCGGCTGTGCATACAAACAAGAACTTCATAAAAATTTAAGGCACAACTAATCTTGAGAAGCTAAGCAGGTAGGTGGCACGCTTTTTTATGGTACAAGGGAACTAAAACACAGGGGTATTTTAGAAGACATTATATACGGGAGTCTTTGTGGTTAAATTGGGAGAAGATTAAAAAACAATGTTATTTGAAAATTCCAGTCTGGCTATCGACTATTGAAGCATTTTCTTATCCTATAATATATAAAAAGGAACAAACAGTTAGATATGGGGAAATATTGGATGAAAAGGGTGAACTTAAATCTATGCAAAAACTAGAGGAACAAGGTATAAAGATTAATTGGTTTTCATATGCGCAAATACATTCAAGGTATGATAAAGATTTTAAAACACAAGGTTTCTATGATAAATTGACTGATCTAGATAAGATCTTGACAGGTACTGATGAAAAGGTGATTAAAAAATTGTATGGATATTTATTAGAAATCAAACTAGAAGAAGAACAAGTTAAAGAAACTATGATTGCTTGGGGGAAGAACTTTGGATATGGGATTGATTTAGAGAAATGGCAAAAATTGTGGTCTCAAAATTATAAAATGACAATGTCAACAGCTTATAAAGAAAATTTGTATAAGATGTTTTACAGGTGGCATTTTCCCCCGACAAGAATAGCAAGAATGTTCAAGAATAAATCTGAAAAATGTTGGAAATGTCATCAGACACCTGGCTCATATTACCATATGTGGTGGACTTGTGCGGATGCTAAAAAATACTGGACTAAAATCCACATGTGGTTGGAAAAAATGACAAAAAAACATATAGACTTGAAACCAGAGATATTTTTATTGGGAATTTTACCTGAAACATATAGCAAAGATTTGAAATACCTGATTGTAAATGTATTAACAGCGGCTAGGATTGTATTTGCTAAACACTGGAAAAATGAGAAAATACCATCGCAGGAGGAAATCATTAAGAAAATATTGGAATGTGCTGAAATGAGTAGATTGACATTTGAAATTAGAGAACAAGAGGATAAACAATTTTATAAAATTTGGGACCTTTTCTATCAATGGTTAGATAATAAAATACAGTAATGAAATATGTAGATTTTTAGAAAATAATAAATATATAAAGATGTAGTTCTTTTTTTATTATATCTACAAAACGTATTTAGGATAGATTTGGGAGGATAAAATGAATGGTTATAAAATAAATTAAGTAAATTATGGTTATCTCGTAAAATATGAATGAATAAAACTATAGTCAAATGATTGATTAATAATGATACTAGGGTATTTAATTTTTGATTGATGATATGAGCTTTTATGTAATGTAACTGTAATTGAAGACTACGAAATGGAAGCATAAAACAATTTGTAAACCAACCGGCACACTGTTTGTATACCTATGGAAGAAAGTTTGATGTTTTTATGTTTTGTTTGTTTATGTTTGTTTTTAAAAATCAATAAAAAAAATTGTAAAAAAAGAGAAGCTAAGCAGGTCAAGCTTCACTCTTCAAGGTTTGCTCAATTGCAAAAGTAGGTTTTGAAGAGTTCTCCTGTATTCATACTTCCCTGCAGTTTCCTTGGCAAAGTTTTTTGAAAACATTTCCCCTTTCCAAGGCCTGAGAGGACAGGACAGGACAAGGTCTCTGAGATGGCTTTGTGCCTAAAGCAGGACTGGAAATGAGCGTATCTCAGGCTCTAGGCTTGTGACCACCAAACTGGGCCTTCTTCCTGCCCACAAAATCCGTCCATTCAGCTGTTCCTGCTATTCCAGCCCCAAATTCAAGGTTTCAGTATTCAAGATCCAGTATCCTCCAAACAACACATACGTTACACCTTTCAATCTGAATTTCAAAGCTTGATTCTGAGGAAATGGACTGTTCTTCTGAGTGGGGACTTACGGCTTTTCACCCTCTCTGTAGACCATCCCCTCTGACTCTTACGTTGGCTTCATTTAATTTTGCTTGATATTGCTATATAGCCCTGTAAGAGATTCAGAGGCTTTGGGATCATTGCAAGCATTTCCTACTCCTAACTACAATAAGGTGCAGTTCTCGCTTCACAATCAGGAGGCTGTGAGTTCGATCCTAGGTGGAGGCAGCTATTCCTCTCTCTGGGCACAAAGAGAATATATCTGCTGTGAACTGCATTGGTGACAGGAAGGGCATCCAGCCAGTAAACACTCACTTCCATTTAGTTGTCCCAACACCACTCCGCAACGCATACATGCACAAGCATACTATTTTAAAATTAAGAAATTTTGCACATATTTAAATTCTAAATCGCTTGGAATTAAGATTGGCCAGGAGCCCCTTGGTTTCTCCACACACCTGGCCTAGTCCTGGTTGTTGGGTGTCCTTGAAAGGTATCACATGATTGTAACCTACTGAAAAAGATTGTAACCTGTCCTGTTGAATGGTGTTGGTGAAATAAACAATCTTGGAATTCTTTGGGAAATCAGGATAATCCATCTGCATATTTGAAGGAAACGGTTTTGAAAAAAATTAAGGAGCCCTGGTAGAGAACAGGAAACGCCTCCCTTGTGTTGGGAAGAGAGCTTTGTATCACCCTGTTCCAATGTTTATACAAATGCTGACATTTTATTTTTATTTCTCCAAAGCTATTCATGATTCTTAAACAATGCTGTTTTAGAAATTAAACATTATCTACTATACAATTCCCCCCCCCCCCCAACACGTCTCCCCACCAAGGGAGGGGATCACAAAAGCATCAGTCCCTTGGTCCTCCTCTCAACCCCCCCAGCCATCAAAGGCTAACAAGGAGGCAAGCAAAGGAGATCACACCAGGAATTGCGAATAAAGCTGGAGGTCCTGTGCTCAAAACTACAGTCCCTTGTCTCCTCAACTCAACATTCCTACAGCTCTTCTCCATGAAGGCCCCCTGCAAGGCACAATAGCCTTTACACCTGAAATTTTACCCTGGTTTTGTCACTGCCGAAAACTCATATTGCTACTCATATGGTGTCTTCTATTTGGGTACCTCATTCTTGACACAATCTGAACAGACACGCTTGGTGCGCTGAATTCCTGGAACTGTTTGGAAAAAATAAACTTTGAAACCCTTCTGCTTCTTCTCTCGCTTTCTCATTATAGGAGGAGCCACAATCTCTAACTATAGTCTGAGTGCTCCTGTCCCCAAGAGATGCTGGCTGGAAAATTCTGAGGTTGAAAATCATGGGGCAGGCAAGGAAGAAAAAGGCTTGGACTCTGTACATGGCATTTTTATCATCTACCATGATAAAAATGCAAAGAACACTCCCAAAATATTTTTACATAATTGCACAATTTCTGCAAAAATAAATACTAAACACTCTTGCTGCTGATGGCCAAATACCCATTATCAAACTAATATGTTGCGATTTCTTCTTTTCTCCTTCCTATCTAATATCATGAGATATTTGCCTACGAATATCAGGCAAATTCTTTACAGCCAAATTAAATAGTCACTTTCTCAACTGTACTTACAATGGGACTATGAAATGAAATTCATGCCTTCTCTACACTCATCACTTAGGGCCTCAGGTGGATTTTCTTGTGTGCAATAAGGGCTGAATGTTTCCTGAAGGACGGTCTACACTTGGGGCACTTAAATGGTTTCTCCCCTGTGTGTATAAGCATATGATTTCAAAGGTTAACCCTACTATTGAGATCATTCCCACAGTCTGGACACTCATACGGTTTCTCTCCTGTGTGAGTCCTCTGGTGTCTCACCAGGCTGGAATTGTGACTGAAACTTCTCCCACAGTCTGGACATTCAAAGGTTTTCTCTCCTGTATGAATCCTCTGGTGGTTAATAAGGTGGGAATTCTGACTGAAACTTTTCCAACAGTCAGAACAGTTAAAGGGTTTCTCTCCTGTGTGAGTCCTGTGGTGTTTCACCAAGTAGGAATTTTTAGTGAAACATTTCCCACAATCAGGACACTCAAAGTGTTTCTCTCCTGTGTGAGTCCTTTGGTGTTTCAATAGGCTGGAATTGGTACTGAAACTTCTCCCACAGTCTGGACATTCAAAGGGTTTCTCTCCTGTATGAATCCTCTGGTGGCTAATGAGGTGGGAATTCTGACTGAAACATTTCTCACAAACAGGACACTCAAACGGTTTCTCTCCTGTATGAATCCTCTGGTGATTAATAAGGAGGAAATTCAGACTGAAACGTTTACCACAATCAGGACATTCAAAGGGTTTCTCTCCTGTGTGAGTTCTCTGGTGTCTCACGAAGCTGCAATGGTGACTGAAACTTCTCCCACAATCAGGACATTTAAAGGGCTTCTCTCCTGTATGAAGCCTCTGGTGGCTAATAAGGTTGGAATTGGT